AAGCATGGGTTACTGAAGATCAATATTCTAACCTGGACCTTCACGGGTAGTGATATGTAAATATAGAGTTTTTCAGTTCCAGCCCAATACGCAATACTGACTCTCTACTTCTACACCATCTCTCTCTCTCTCTCTCTCTCTTCTCACTCACTCCCACCACCCCACCTCCACACTCTCTTCACCTCAATATATATATGTACATAGGTGTATATGTTTTGTCCATTTACACATGCAGCTGTGTTTGATTACATCATGTTTGCCATACATACATACTGGTATGTACACAGGTGGAGGAGCCATCGGATAGCTGTGGTTTATCGCCTTACATGTCAGCATAAAAAAGTGTCGTTGTCTGTGAAGTTAATGTTGAAATACTGACACGGAAGCGAGTTCGAATCTACTCTGGGACTTCCGGGTTTTGTACATGACCCCATTATCGTACGAGCCACCTGAATAGTTCGTGTTGCGCGATATCTTGGCTTGTGTTGATGACATTGTATCACGAGCTGGAAGTTGATGACAATATCAGTCAGAGCGCGTTGATTACAATACTAGTCAGGGTGTGTTGATGACAATATCAGTCAGATTGTGTTCATGACAATATCGGTCAGATTGTGTTGATGCCAATATCTGTCAGATTGTGTTGATGACTATATCTGTCAGATTGTGTTGATGACAATATCTGTCAGATTGTGTTGGTGACAATATCAGTCGGATGGTGTTGATGACAATATCAGTCAGATTGTGTTGATGACAATATCTGTCAGGGCGCGTTGGTGACAATAGCTGTCAGATTGTGTAGATGACAATATCAGTCAGAATGTGCTGATGACAATATCAGTCAGGTTGTGTTCATGACAATATCTGTGAGATTGTGCTGATGACAATATCAGTCAGAGCATGTTGATGACAATATCAGTCAGGTTTAGGCTCGATTATTTACAAATCTCTTTTAGAACAGCAGAACTTTAATTTCGTGCGGCGTTAAACAACAAGCTGGCAAAATGTTTAATCGGCATTCTCGAAGTTAGTGATATCACGAAGCATACGACTTTATGGATAACAAATTCTTTTGTATTGCATATAACGACCTTTCGATACAAGAAGTCGTTATCCATAAATTCGTTAAAAACAAATTGTTTCAAAAATGTCCTTTGCGTTACTTTCCAAAAACAAATCACGCGCACGCACACACACAGACACACACACACGCACGCATGCACGCGCGCGCACACTGGGTGCAGTTATCAGTGTATTTGCTTATGACATATGCAAGTTCTCAAACAACGATATCTATCCACGGTATGCATAGATTTCGTTTATGTGTTTATGTTTACCCATTCGGACACAAACAGTTTACACATTACCAGTAAATGGTCTCTCTTCTGAACGGATAAATTATGCGGTTGAATGGGCAATGTATGGCATTGTATAGAACGGGTTGGCCCAGTCGACCATGACGACGTATAGTTGGTGCCAGGAGATTTGTGTACGGGCATCTGTACAAAGGAAGCATGTAATACACAAGTGTGTGGATATATTGTGTACGGGGTCCTGTGTACGCATGTCACAGTGTTCAGTAAACATTCTATTGTATCCAATTCAAAGATGGTATTTATAGAAATGAACACAAACTGGGTTTGTATTTTGTGTTTGATTTGGTACATTGGTCCTATGTATGTATACACTTTACCGCGCTCTAGGACCCATGGGGTAGCCTAGTGGTTAAAGCGTTCGCTCGTCACGCCGAAGACCCGGGTTTGATTCCCCACATAGGTACAATGTGTTAAGACTACCAGAAATCGGCTTTACACATTGTACCCATGTGGTGAATCAAACCCGGGTCTCCGGAGAATGCTTTAAACCACTGGGCTACCCCACAGCCTCGGGGGACACGGTTTTCTAAAAGAAGCTTTAAGAATCTGCTTCTCCCATATACTAAAAATCACTTCATAAAGTAAGGTGTAATAAAGAAAGTATTTTTGTGAGTGAATCCATGTTTTGCTTTTGTCAGAAATATCACCATGACATATTGTGGCCTTCGGAGGAACACAGCATTTCCTCACTCATTCAACAGAAACTAATAGAAGCGCCAGTATATACCTCAAGACCAGTGCTGAACAACCTGCTTGCCAACTCACCGTGGGCTTGACGCAGCTTATCGTCCACGCAGGTGTTTGACAAGTGATGGACAGGTGATATAGATTAGACCGGCTGAACTACACAACACGTGCAAGTGGAGCACGCCCGTTTAATCTATACCTGCATTAGACGAAACCGATATCACGAGTGCACCATATTATATCCACTGGGCTGTCAATCAAATGAGTTTGTGATGCTGTTCTCGTGTCCAAACATGACCGCTCTGTTTAGCGTGGGCAAAACGAAATTCATGTACATACTGTCATATATCGCCAGATATTCTCATCGATCCTCGGTAACGGACTTATCGTGTATTTTTTTGGGGTTTTTACGGTAACAGCATAAGGAATAATTGTGTGTCTGTGTGTTTCAACTGCAAGTCTTTATGAAGTCTATGAAAGGCATTTAGAAGTTGGACGAACATTAATACATAACACGTTTTATGGATAACAACTTATTTTCTTTATTCTTTACACGACGTTTCAGAGGTAATTCTTGCTCCTTCAATCACCTGATGAAGGAGCAAGACTTAGCTCTGAAACGTCGTGTAAAGAATACAAAAGAAGTTTTTATCCATAAAACCTGTCATGTATTCATGAAGGTCTTTAATTATTGCATCTAAATTTAGAGCCAATCCCCATAAAAAATATCTATAATGCACCATTAATATTAACAAAAATACGTCACACATATGCATTTACATATGAAATAATGCATGTTTACAAACTAAACAGATCATGTAAAGTCTCCTTAGCAGAAACTCAATATTAATTAACAAAGTTGCACACACCTATTAAAATACACTGTTTCCATGACAATGGATCTCTGACTAATACTTCAGCACTTTATCTACGTCACAACGTACGACTTTGTGTTTGTTATATGATCACCCAGTTCCACTAATCATTCTCAGCGCAAGTCTATGTTAAACCAAGGGAGTTGTGTTCACCTTAACGCTATGATCGCTTTGTAGAACGGTGCCAGTACATCAGGAAACCTGCAGCTTGCTCTTGTTCCATCGTTTCACTTGGCACCTTGGGATCCATCTTTATCAACACAGCACCTTTGCATTATTTCCAAAAGATGAGTGGATGTCCGGAATACTGAAAATATAGGAGCCGTACTTGAATTATTTCCAGGTGCACAGTAGCTATGTAACTATGTATATACTCAACAGTATTCCACCTGTATGAAGAGCGGTAGGGTAGCCTAGTGGTTAAGTTTTCGCTCGTCACGCTGAAGACTCGGGTTCGATTCCCCACATAGGTACAATGTGTGAAGTCCATTTCTTGTGTTCCCCGCCGTGATATTGTTGGAATATTCCTAAAAGCGGAGTAAAACTGAACTCACTCACTCACTCCACCTGTATGCCGGCGACATTTGGGCAACTGACAGTGGACCAGACATTCCAGTGATTGATATCGTGAACAACGATCAACGATGTTCAGGTAATATGACGCAACATCAACCTAGTCAGAGAGTCTGACCACTTGATCCATTATTCCCGTGTAGATCAGAGTTAGAACTGGTCTTCAGCAGCTCATGCTTGTCGTGAAAAGTGACAGTTTCAGTTCACATATACTATTTACTTCATAACTGTCGACAAACCATTAATATCTGACCCCTGCAGATCTGGGTCAGAATTGGTCTTCAGTAACCCATGCTTGTCGTAAGAGGCGGGTGGTCAGACTTGCTGACTTGGTTGACACATGTCATCGCTTCCCAATTATAGAGATCGATGCTCATTGTGTCAATCACTGGATTGTCTGGTCCAGACGCAATTATTTACAGACCGCCGCCATATAACTGGCACTGTGCCGCAAGCGTTGCACACACAACTTCCTAGAAATACGAACGGACAGAAAAGTCACGAAATTTCACTTGAATAACAGCTATAACGCTCAATGTGTTAATTTATAATTGTAATGCAAGAAAAACCACACGCACTTTCAGAAACAAATTAAGAAGTGCCAAACTTAATTTGAATTTGAACATCTGGTGCAGTGTTTCAAAATGACATGCACGAACACAGACTCTCTGTGGCTTGTCTCCACTTGTAAATGTGTGCATGTGTATCGATCTTTGTCTCCTCTAACTGCCATCCCAAACAGCATGCTCCAAGCGTGTTTTATTGAAAAAATAATAAGGACATATTTGAAATATCTTTACTGTACTCGACTTGTAATGTCACTTTAAAAACAAAAACTTAATTGTTCAAGTCAGCAAATAGGACCGAGTATACATATAGTATCAGAAATGGTATACGTCCTGATGAAAAGAACGAATTTTCAAACTAACATTTTATCTGACATAGTAAATAAGTGACACGTAAACGTATATACTGTCGAGACGGGTTATTTTGCATTTGAAATAAAGATGTTTAAAATTCCTACCTGGTTTAAATCTATTCATAAATTCCAAATCCTTTCTAATATTTTTTTTAACAGACAGGTGTGGCGAGTACTGAAGACATAGAATAACGGAGTCCTATTTTATATGACTACTCACTACAGGAAGTGTTTTATTTCTTTTCTACACTGACGTGTTAAAATGACCCGAATTTGAAAGCACGATGATTCACCCCATACCTTTGCTACCTGAGTGGTAGACTGACAGGTTCCCCTATTCTTACCTGCCTGCGATGCTACTTGTCGCACAACTAGCCAACATTTGTAATGGTCAATTGCAAATATCACCGTTGTAATGAAGGTATTAAACGTAAATTATCATTTTGGGATATACTATTACACAGTTGATGTATTACAAAATTAGTTATGCCTAAACCCACTAAGAGTATTTATTAGTTGAATGGGGGAATGGAACTAGTTTTAGGACAGTAGTGACAAAGTTTGTGTTGGACTTCCGGAGTGTTTACCCCAGCGTGTTTGGGACTAGGGATAATCAGATAAATAATTACAATTTTGTTGCATTGATTTGCCTCCTATTACAACTTGGTGCATGACTGCCACTCGCAGGAGGTATTATCAGCGTGCTTTTCTAGGGGTAAGCTGGCATAACAGCGGTTGATGCGCAAGTAGCGAGGAAGCGAGACAACGTGACCCCTGACCTAAGTTTGGCTGTCACATCGGCTGATCGGAAGATGGCTGACTTCGGGAACTACCTGTAATAAAGTGTCAATATGACTGAAAATTCGGAAGATACTGTCTGGGTAGGACCCAGGTCAATGGAGGAATTACAGGAATTGATTGCCGAAAAGGATAATATTATCAGTCATCAGTGTGGCAAGATAGAAAGTTTGCAAGCCGAACTGACTCAAGTGAAAGAAGAACGAGACCAATTGCTGAGAAAATTATCCGTAGTAAACAGCCCTGAGGATGCCACACCAGGGGAGGACGGGTAGGTTTTACTGTTAGATAACATTTCTTTTGATATTGACTCCATTGTGTGTCATAGGTTCAGGCGCCTGACCTGAATCTAAGTGTATTTGACTGTCAAGTGTTTGACAGACCACAGCTAATCGTGTATGTTCGTGTTAACGTCAGCTTGCTTTAGTATGAACCACGAATGACAACATTCTGATTGATCTCATGTGTGCGTAAATGCCAGTCCCAGTAACACCTAATGTCAACTTTGGTGAACAATTCCTTTGATACATGCACGTGTTTCATTTACTAAATGCCACAGTATTTAATTATACTTAATGGTTATTGTTTGGAAAACTCGCAGAGAAGGGACGCCTGGGTTTGTTTTGAAAACAAAAATGACCTCTTACTAGTCTAAGCTATCTAAAAAATATGCATCTAAAGTAACAACACTACCAGCATATCCATTTGTCTTCTCATATATTAATGCAAGCTATAACACTGGATGTTAGGTAACGTCAAAGATATCTCTGTGTTTTGCCATATAACAACTAAGATTGTTTTTAAGGTACATACTGTATTTCATTTACTTTCAGCAAACTTTATTGTCTAACTATTTAGTAAAAACAAATGATACAATGATATGTCTCGAGCTGAAATATGTGTATCATTTGCATATACTTCTGTAAACCAACCCAAGTTAATTTTGTTCACAATTATTAAATTTATATTATTAAAAACATCAGCTTGTTTTAAATCATAACATATTCTTTTGAGATTGTATCTATTGTGAACTGCTTTTGTTCTTTTGTTTGAATCCAGTTAACAAACATGACCGAGGTCTCTGTAAATTTGATTTTTCCAAGTTCAGTGCATTGTTCCAGAATCCAGACAAAAACAGTGTCTTGGACACACAAATAGAGACGATGTCAGCTGAGCAAAACAACTGGAATACACATTATGTGATAGTGAATCTCCCTTGTTGGTAGCTTATCTGGGTGTGTGTAGGAGATAATGAACTGTCCATTACCTGTCATAATAGCTGTGATAATCTAATTACTGCTGATTAGCATCACATGTTAATCACAGCGTAGACAAATACTCAAGTTTCCAATAACATGGCTGACTAGTCACAACAAATATTCTTTGTTTTTAATCTTACTGTTATCTGATAATGTTCTGAGTAATAGTTTTGAACGCTTCTTTTTGTGGTGGGCATCAGATGGGATGGAGAGGTTATGTAATGGAGTTATCATAAGACTTGACAGATTTGAGTAATTTGTGTTTCTTAAACAATATCGCTGTTGATGTACATTTTCTTTTTACATCAGGTTTATTAATGGCATTTAGAAGTGATACACTTAGAGAGAGAGTTTTTATGGATGTCAACTTCTTTATTATGAGGAACACATTTCTGAGTATTGCCTTACTCCTTCATCAGGTGAATGAATGGTATGAGGAAGAGAGCATATATATGTACATGTATTGTTTTAACAGTTTGAAGTTCACAAAATGGCTATTGATTTCCTGTCTTGGGATGAACTGCTACAAATATACTCAGGGTCGAAATAACTTGAATATTGCTAGTGTACTCCAGTACAGTGGCACATGTAAAATCACTTGCCCTAATCATTTTTCCACTATACTGGACGATTTTCTTGTTGATTTTTTAAATAAACAACATAATTGACATTGGAAAGTCAACTGGACACCGGTACAGTGTGATATACAAATTTGCTTGCCCAACAGAAAAAGACACTGGACTGGGGCATCGGGCAATGGGTTATTTCTACCCCTGATACCGTATCATCATCATAGTGGTTTTTAGTTTGGATTTACAACAAATTGATAACCTTCTTTTTAAATTAGGTTTGAGTGTATGATTTGATGCTTACAGACCTTTATAGTCAGAGTTGAACAATTTTTTAAAGAGATCAGATATATAGTTGTTGGCTGATGCGTCAGCTGGTGTTGACCCCTTTGTCCCAAAGTGTGAGTGGTCACTTTGTGGCTATGTTTGCTTGTTTATTCAGGGCACACTGTCCAGTGTTTGGTCAGCCTGTCTACTCTAAATTGACTTGTACAATAGTAAACATCGAAGGATGGCATCACTTTCTCGTGTACCTAAAGGCATTTAGGCATGCTCCATTTGTTTCGAAACAATTAGACTTGGCTATAAATAATGTGCCTGTTTAAATGTGACAGCTCTGTTTATAATTAGTTGTAAAAATAATCAAGCCTTGCTTTGAGGTGTTTGTTCAGCAGTTTTGGAGCAGTTACTGAAAAAGATGATTAAGCGGAACAAATTTTATGGATTGACAACTTCTTTAGTGCAGTAGATGCAAGGTTTTGGTGTTGACACTAACACTGTTATCAAGCAAATGATACACAACATATGCACAAGGAGACTATATTAGTGTTGGGAATTGGTTAAAATCTCATAATTGATGATTGCTTCATTACAACCGATCAATGATCAAAAATAATTGGTTAGCGTCATTTATGAATTTTTCCTACCAATTTTGTTAATGCACAAAAACATAAAGAAAAAGCATGTAGTTCTTTGGGGGTTTTTGGGGCAAATTTCACATCGTGAAAGGATGACTAGTATGTTAGGAACATAAATTCTTGGGGTCTTTGGGATAAATTCAATCAGGACTTGGAATGAGCTTGTAGTGCTCATGAAATGTAACTGACAAAACCAGCCTTGTGAAAAATATTGTTCCAGAATTGTTTGTGTTCGATTATGAGAAAACATGATCGATTGCTTGGTCGTTTAGTCACTGCGACCAATCTTCGATTATTTCAATTAATCGGACCACCACTAGACTATATACATGAAGGATATTTGAGTTTATACATTTGCAAAGATTGATGAACAATATGGTGACATTACTGATAAAAGTACAGATAATTGACTGTATTACTTCTAGAGACAGTATTATGCTGCTGTAGTTTCAGCTGAAACACGTTATTAAATACATGTATATGCTTGTCATGAATATATTCAAAATATTATCCTGAATTGTTTAAAAATATTATCAATATGACTGCTGTTTATGGAAATACATAATTTGACTGAATGATTTTAACCAGGTTTGTAACAGATGTTGAACAACTACTTGATCAATGCATCAAGAAATGTGCTGAAAATATGTTGTCAGGGAACAGTGTATGGGTATTCTAGTCGAGATTTCTGACAGTATTATAATGCCAGCCCACAGAGTTGGTGAGTGAGCGTGTGAATGAATGAGTTTAGTTTTATGCCGCTTTTAGCATTATTCCAGCAATATCACGGCAGGGGACACCAGAAATGTACATTGTACCCATGTGGGGATTCAAACCCAGGTCTTGGGCGTGACGGTGAACGCATTAACTACAAGGCTATACCATCCCCCTAGCCCACCAAGCTACCATGTATACTGATTTAGTGCTGAGCCAACCAGTCCTTGTTTTACAACATATATATTTTTAAAGCTGACCTCAGGGGTGGTGGGGTAGCCTAGTGGTTAAAGCATTTGCTCGTCATGCCATAGATCTGGGTTCAATTTCCAACATGTGATATTGCTCGAATTTTGCTAAAACTTCGTAAAACTAAACTCACTCACTCACTAATGCTCACCTCCATATTGTAAATTATTTTGGTATGAAAGGAGGGATCAACCTTCAACTCTCTGGACAAATGCTCTGTCCACTGCACCATTGAGTTTTCAGTTAAAGAAATAAGTTGGAGCCATTGTGGACACTGTACATTTGGTTTCATTTCCTTGTGTCAGTATCATTAAAATATTTGGCTTACCAAGAATGTAAGGGTTTTTTTTAAATCCAGCATGGCATTTGAACGTACCATTGTTCCACATGAATGTTGTATGACTTAGTCTGAAAATCATGTCAGATAACTGTTTCCATGCCAACCCATCTACATTCGGAAACAGCAATTTTTTATTTTTCAAGATTACCCTTTAACATGTTTACAAATGCAGAGGGAAAATAAACCTACACCGGGACTTACTCAGCAAGGGAAACTAACTACACCCAGATGCTCAATAATTAAATGATCTAATTTGGACTTTAAAAATATTGTGTTGTTGTGCGGGAGCTGCTAAGGAACTGGGAACCGAATCAATAGAATGTTCTAATGAACCAGTTTCAGCCATCGCTGTCGTACTGAAACAACACGATGACAGTTTGGGGCTGATGTACAACTAATGTGCATTATTTATCACATTGTATTTCTGAAGTAAACACGGCTGAAGTTGAAGTGTACAGGGGTGATCAATCTTGGCAGTTGTTGCAGGATACAGAGCCGATTGGTCTTTGGCACTGTGTTTCCATAGCCCGCTGGCTATGACCAAAGCGCCCAGCATCTGTGTCCACCTTTGGTCAGGTCAGCAAATTCCAGTGTTAGTGATCATGGCGAAAGGTCAAAGGGAGGACACTGCTTGTTGATGTCTGCATGGTTTGGAAATAGTTCATCTCAGTTTTGAAAGGTGGAAATCAAGAAATGTTTCTTCAAAGCTTCATGCAGATGGAGTTAATCCTTTTTAGGTTAGCATAAAGGGCTGAAGATGAAGATGAGATTTGTAGAAATAGTTCCTCACTGCAGAATATGCTTTGTCAGCATTTCATCATGTTTATCCGTGGATGTAGCAGCTGGTTTTCTTTGAAAGGGGTTATTCAAAATTTTACTTTATTTCCAAGCCGTTACGCATAAATTTAGAAGTGGAATCCTGTGAAAAATGCCTTGTTGCAAGGTTTTACAGGTATAACACGTTTATATTCCCAGCGTTAAACCCCAAGAATCTGAAAATGCGACGAAAATCAAATCTGAAGAGCTTTAGAGCTTGTAGGGGCAAATTTAAAAGCTTACCACAAACGTGCTATATTATAACTATATTATGAACAGATATACTGATAAATAGATATACGGATATACTGGTAAGAGTATTATCATGTTCATTGAAACTTGCTGCACTATCACTGCTAACACGGTAACATATTGGTAACTTGTTTCGACAAAATGAAAATAGATCT